AGATGCCTGCACCATCGCAGAGTTTGGTGGTGGCATTCCTCTGTAGGCCAGAGAGGACAGCAAGAGAGGCAGCCACAGAGGGGAACTCGTTAGCACTGGGGGTGGGGGTGGGGCGGGGGAGGCAGGGGAGGGCAGTGTGTGTGGCAGAGTCTGAGACACTAGAGGCCCGAGGTAACACGGCAAGGGTCCCTCTGAATGCCAGGGATGACTGTTGCCAGGATTCTTTGACTGCGTGTGTCCACGACTAGCAGATAAGAGGAGGAGTCACCACAGGGAGTTGACTGGGGTGATAACCCAGGTCAGAGGAGGGGCAGGGAGGTAGATGTGTGGGACCCCAGCAAACCTCCTGGACTCCCCTGCCCCACTGTGAGCAGATGTATGTGTCAACTCTGTGCTGAGAAGGGCAGGACAGCCAAGGGCTCAGAAACCTTGCCCTGAAGGTTTGGGCCACACTACCAGCTGAGCTGCCAGGACCTGCTGAGGCGCAAACTGAGAGGAAGACCAGTTGGGGCCCGAGTTCCACTAGGATAATGGAGGTGGCAGTTTGTCTCACTCAATTCTCCTTTCTAAGCTCCTCCAACCAGCAGTTTGAGCTTAAGGGTGCACCACCGGCCTGGCCACAACTTTCTCGGAACCTGAGGCCCCGCCCACCAGCCCTCCTTCCCCCCACCAGCCGCTCTTTCTCAGGGGCAGGCCAGCTGCAGCCCCAGCAGCTCCTGTGTGCTCCCTTCACCCGCAAGTGTCTCCTGCACGTTACTCCCACCTGGAGTCTGCTTGTCAGTGCACCTGAACTGGCCCAGCATGACCTCTGTGATGAGAACAAAACAACAGGACAATCCCAGTGTGACCCTAAGCCTTGTCCCTTGGTCTGCCCTGCCTGCTTGGAGAATGTCATCAGACCTCAGAGAGCCGAGCGGGTCAGACCCCCAGAGGCAGGCCAGCATGCTGGGAAGCCCTTGCATCCAGAAAGGACTATGTGATCAAGGGCTGGAGGAAAGAACCCGCGGGCCCAGAACCCCGCTGCAGCCAAAGAGGCCAGTGACCTGAGCTCAGAGGTGCCCATAGACTGGGGAGAGGACAGGGATTGAGGACCAGACTGCCCTGCCCTCAGGAAGTCACAGCGCCACTGTCCTTCAGGGTGGGCTGTGGAGGTGGGAGGTACTTCGGCTGAGGAAAGTCAGCCCCGCAGGAGCGCATTCTCCAATCCTTGAGGTGCCGGCTGTTAGCTCTGATGATGAGTCATCCAGCGAGGCAGGAAAAACCAAACTCTTTCGTTTCATTGGTTTAGCAAACTAACCTATCCCCAGAGTAAGGTGGAGGTGGGGCGCAGGCTGTGGGTGTCCGGCAGTTTCTGGACCAGGCCAGGCCCAGCAACCCGTGGGAGGCATAGAGGGCAGCCCAAAGCTGGAGCCTGGGCCTGCCAGGCCCCTGCCCGGGCCTCTCGGGCAGCTGCAAGGGCAGGTGCCACCCCCAGACTTCCGCAGCACCTTCCATCTTGCCCAGGCTCCCCCCTGCAGGGCACTGGCCTCTTCACATCTCTACTGGGTAGGCTGCACCCTGGGCAACGGTGATGACCTGCCACAGAGAGTGGCCACACTCAGATTCACAATGACATGTTGAGAGCTCGCTCCACCAGACCAGGCTGTCTATCCACCCAAAGGTCTGCAGGGACTAGAAATCCCAGGGGTTTCCAGACAGACAGCTCCGAGGGCAGGCCAGCTTAGAGGAGGTGCGAATCAGAAACCCCTCGAGCTGTAAGCTGCCGAGACAAAGGCAGCGGGTGTTACAGCACAGCTGGGCTTTGGCATCTGTCAGAGCCGGGGTAAAATTCAGGCTCCGCTCTTGACCACAGCATGACCCTGGGCAGGCAAACCTCTTGGACTCTCAGTCTTCATTTGTTTTTATTTAGTAATCTGTAAAACAGGGACTGTAACGTCTGTCCTGAGTAGTTCTGGAACTGGAAGCGACCTGGGTAAGCCCGTGGCCTGGTGTGGGCTGTCAGGAGGTGGGGACTGACCACTCCTATGCACCCTGGACCAGACACTCACGAGGTCATGAACGAAGTGCAGCCTGACCATCAAACTTGGTTCCTGCAAGTTCGTCTGGCACATTTAATGTTTCACTATCAGGCAAAAAACTGTAGGCAGTTGATGTAAAAGCTGTAATTACTACTCTATCCGCAGGGTTAAACCAAATTTTTACGGCTTCCTTCTTCTACGCGTTGGTTTTTCAGAATCCATAAATACCCCAGCAGATGGTTTTCCCTGATGTCATGAGTAATGTTACCCTCATTGTAACCCTACAGCAAAAGCTGGGAAGGGACGTGACTCCCAATAGTTAGGTTCTCGCTCTAAGAGGATGAAATTGGGTGCCCCTACCCCCTTCATGCAGCATTATTTGCCAGGTGCTGGACTAGTCAGTAGGGTAACTGAAATGAACAAAACAAACAGTGGCTTCAAGAATTAATTATTGCAACTTAATATTGAGATATCAAGCTAACGTCTCCCATACGCAGAACTGCATCTCTGCTGCGGCCACCTCCACGTTATTCGGTCCCTTAAGACCCTCGGCAAATACCCTTACTTCCTGAACATCGCTATTACACCAATATTGGGATTCAGGCACTTCTGGGGAAATGGTTCCAAAAGCAAACAGAGGAACACAGGGCAGAGCCTGGGGGAGAAGAGAAAGTCGTGGTCAAGCTCATGGAGTTTTCTGTGCGTCCCTTCACAATGCCTGAGTGGGGAAAGGAGTCGCCTTTGGACAGAGCGCATACACACAGCCTAGGGCTGTCCCATGGGCACCATCCCCCTCGCGAATCAGCACTCCGAGGGCCGCTGCATCAGAGCTCACGGACGCCACTGTGCTGGCCCCATGACAGCAGAAGGGAACGCAGGAGGTGCTCTTTGTGTTTAGGCGGGAGACACAATCGACACTCTGGGCATTCCACATGTAGGACAGTGACGATGTTTTCACGTGTCACCCCACGAGATCCCCACAACAATCACGCCAGGTAGATACAATCAGTCCCACTGTTCTTAACAGAAGAAGAAACCTGAGTCTCAGTGAGGTCAGGAAACTGTCCACGGATTGAGAATGAACACTGCCTCGAACACTAGCAAGACAGAGCCATGGAGAGGGCTCATGGAGGCAATGGACCACATCTTTCCTGCCCTGTTTCCCAACGTCTTCTTTCTCAGGTCTCTGAAGGCCAAAGCTTATCAGTGTGTACAGCCCCTAGATTCCCCTCTTACACTGTTCACTCTGATACGCATGTGCACTGGAGCTAGGGGTGGGCCAAGAAACAGAGCGGGGCTGTTTTCTCCTCTCAGCTTCAAAAGCAACCAAAGTTGCCATCATTGGGCCACAGGAACTTAAAGGAAGGAGGCCAGTAGGGCACTGGGAAGGGTCTCCTGCTGAACAAAAACTGCTCTGCCGACCTTTGTTTCAGGGAGCAAAGAGTCAGGCCAGAAACGGAGTCTGTACAGCCCTGGGTCTGAGGACCCGTTTCCACTGCCACCAGTGAGCAGCGGGCAGCACAGGGTGGCGCTGCCAGACAGGGTGGCCGAACGCACACCAAGCAACTTAGGGCTTATGTTTCTCCTCTTCCCCAGCATGCTCGCCCTTGGCACCCAGAGACTTGCTCAATTGTCCCTGTCATCCCCGGACTCCAGACAAGTCCAGCCCCACGTCTCTGGGAATGACAAGAAGCTGAGAGGGCAGTTCTGACGCCATGGCCCACGCAGCCTGGCACAGGCCAACCCAGAGGCGGAGGATGGTGTTAAGGGTGCTCAGCCAGCCTTTCCTAAACGACTGGTTTGGTGGAAGCTAAGGGCACACAAGAGCTCACCGTGGCTTCCTCCTAAAGATAACCCCCCAGGGTAACAGCAATGCTTTGAAAGTACCCCGAGTGGGGGGTTTGATCATAAGGGCACCCAGTAACCACCTAGACCATGAACAAAGTGAGAGTTCCTGAGAAAGACACGAGTTTCTCTTCTGGAAGGTGACGTACAGCCCCACTGATGTGTGGCTACTGAGTTCCTCCACCAGTAAGATGGGACAGTTTGGACATTTAAACGTGCAGACCTCAGTCTGTACTGTACTTGCCACTGACTGGGGTTATCAAAGGGAGCAAGCCGGGATGATAATTGATGATGCTGCCTCTGCCTCACACAGCTGTGGCCAGTGACTAGGAGCAAGTCCCCTAGACCTCGGCTTCTGCAAATACATCAACAGAAGAAAACTGCAGTGCTGGCTTTGGCAGCATCTGTGCTATAAGAAACCTCTTCAGGCTGTCACGAGGATTAAATTGGACAGCAAGAGTGATGTCCCAGGACTGTGCCTGATACCCAGCAGAGGTCCTCAGTGGTGGTTGCTGTCATTATGTATCATCACTGCCATTGTCATTGTCATCACCAGGGCATACTCTTCTTGCCTCACTCACCACCACTTTTCCCATCTCACAGACAAAAACACGCTGTCCTGGAAGCAGGGTGCCAAGGAGAAAGGTGGGGCTAGAGACCTATGCCAGCTGCCGTGTTCCTAAGAAGGCCTCCAGGTCTTCTTTAAATCTCCAAAAGCACTCGGAACTCTCCAACTACAAAATCCACAAGGCGGACTATCACAACAAAACTTGCACACTCAAGCATAGTCCGACAGAACTGCAATGCAAGCCAAGTCCCACGGTGAACCAAGTTAGCAGGCACATGGCTGGAGATAAAGTGGGGGCGGGGCTGGGGGACAGCTGGAGCCCAGAAAGGAAGGTCTACTTCAGGACAGACACAACTGCTCTCCTGCAGGCACTTTGAGTTCTCTGTTCAGGGCCCAAAGAGATGTCACAGGAGAAATATTTTTCTGCCGCCTATCTCCTGGGACAGTCACAGAAGTGGGATTCCCGCCCTGATAGTCCCTTTGCAGGGGAAGCCTGGTGTGAGGAAGGCCACAGGTGCTACCCCTGCAGGACATGGTGAGGTGACACTCCTTCCCGCCGAGGGGCTTACTTGTTGCTGTCGCGGTACTCGTAGACGTAACACCCTTGTGGCAATCCAGTCTCGTGGTCCAGAGTGAAAGCAAGCTTCAGCTGAATACAGGGAGAAGAGAAAACAAGTAAGTTTTAGGTAGAATGCTCTGTCCATTGTGACAGTTGAAATAAAAAAAAGCAGCAAAATCATACCCCCCCAGCCTGCCACCACTTGGAAGAGCCCGTCTTACAGGGACACTGCTGGCAGCAAGGATTGTTGCCAGGACTCTATTTACTCAGCACGCAGCCTGTTATTCATTGAGCACCTACTTTGTGACCCTGAGCTAGCTGACGGGGAAAGAACAGTGCCCAGCAGCAGAAAGCGGCCTCTTTCACAGATCTCACAGTCTATAGTACAGGAGATGAATGTCAATGATCACATAAGCTAACGAATGAATATACATGACTTCAAGTTAAAATAGGTCCTCTGAAGCAGGGCAAACCTCCCATGTTTCTCCAGGGGTAAATGAGCGGACCTAGACTAGGAATGAGGGAAAGGGGAGCTGCCTGGACGAAGGGGAGGAGGACAGGGAGGGCAGGGGGTTCTCCTCGGCAGAGAGCAGAGGGCCTGGTGCAGGAGCTCCAGGACTCAGGGAAGGCTGGTAAGCCAGCACTTGCCACACACAGGGCAGTGATGGTGGGAGGAAGGCTGGGGCAGAAAATGCAAGACCTTCTTAGCTACATGAGAAGTTTTGGTATCACCTTAATGGCAAAGGAAGAACTATGACACGTTTTATGGAAGGGGTAGATGACCTGGTCAAAGTTAAGCTTTGGTCAGATCTGTCTGGCTGCCACGTTGAGCCTAGACTAAAGGGGAGAGAGTAGATGCAGGAACCTGCAGGAGGCTACTGAGAAAAGCAGGCAGGTGACGACAGAGGCTGGGAGGGGAGTGCGGGCAGGCAAGAGAGCCACAAGTGATCAATCTGAGATTTATCTTTGGAGTGAACTTTTAGAAGTAGAATCGACAGGATATATTGATGGATTTGAAGTTGGGGAGTGGTGAGGACAAAAAAGGAGAAATCGATGATGGTTTGATTTTTTGATTTGAACAACCAGGCAGGTATTCCATTGCTGGGTGGGAAGACTGAACTTGGATATGGATAGGAAGTCAAAAGTTTGATTTTGGACATGTTAACTTGGAGGCATTCATTAGTTCTGATTAGGAAGGCTCACAAACAAGAATTCTGGTAATGAGCCCTGGCTGGTGTGGCTCAGTGCACTTAGCACTGAACTGCAAAGCAAAGCATGGCCAATTCGCTTCCCAGTCAGGGCACATGCCTGGGTGGCGGGCCAGGTCCCCTGTAGGGGGTGCACTAGAGGCAACCACACATTGATGTTTCTCTTTCTCCCTCCCTTCCCCTCTAAAAATAAAAAAATAAACATAAAAATAAAAGAATTCTGGTAATGAAGTCTCAGTTTCTTTCTGGATTCCAGAGGGGGGCTGAGTGGCGGGGGGGGGTGCTCAGGTAAGTCCCATGTGTCTCACTCTAGAGCCCAGTGAGCTATGGCAACTTTAACATTTCCAAATGCAGAGCCAGTTACTAGACTTACAAAGTCACTGGACTTTTAAATCACTAGGGAAATTTTCACTAAAATTAACTGCACATTAGGATATACATTATTATAACTTTTTTTCCTAACTGCAAGGCTGTTAACATAGCTAATGATCTGCATCATTGGGTGCTGGACGATTTTTCTCTTCCTTAGAGGGAATAGAGCTTGTAGGAATGGCTTGTCCTCTTATTGACCCGGACAAAAATACAAAAACAGAAACAAGCCCTTCTTTACCATCACGAAGCCAGAACTTCAAGTCAAAGGCATGTTTTCCCTACAGAGCACTGCTTGGTTCTTCCCAGCCCTCCTCCAGTAAAACAGAATTGTTTTTTGTTGGTTTTTTTTTTAGTATAGAGGTGAGTTTTATTAATAATATCACATTTTCTGAATATCCTGAAGCAGACATTTTTACTTACAAGAAAATAAACATGACCTAGAAGTTCTATATAATTCATTCAGTTACAAAAACATAACATCATTCTAGAATTTCTTGGAACCACCAAGAAAGAAATCAAGTACAGTAACAGCATGCCCATGATGAAATTATACAAATATTCTTTGTTTTATGCATTCGATCGCAGTAATTATCTTGAAAGCATAAAAAGAAGGAAGATTGTTAATATAACTCACATCTAGTGCTGTGTATTGAAAAAGAAATGTTAATTGGATGGTTTAATCCATTCAACTAATTTAAAGTAAGAAATAATTATTTTTAAAAATCTATTAAAATAACCCCTTTCTCTTTACCACCCCCCCCCCCAACCTTTGTAGCTAAGGTCAGGCCTATATTCACCTACTCTGTTCCAAAGACTGACAACTTAGAAAACTTTAAATCCTTTGATCTAGTGATTCAGATTATGAATTTATGGCTTAGAAAAATTATTATAAATGTAGGAGGAAAACTTTTTGTTTTTGAGAAACTCTTCACCTTAGTATTATTTGCTGGAAATAATCTAAAAGACCAGCAATAGCAGGAGGGTTAAACAAACTACACCAGGGTCACATGCAGAACAGCATGCAGCCAGTGAGGAACAGTATGCAGCCGTTTCACTACTTACAAGGAATTTTCATTCTTTACAAAGAATTTATTAACCTGGGAAAAATATCTGGATTAGATGGGAAAAAACACCCCAGGATGCACACTTATTATGTATAGAAAAATGATATAATTAACAACAAAGACTGCAATAGAAGACAGACTGGAAGGAACATCAAAATGGCAAGAGCAATTGTTTGACTTTCTTTGCATTTTCCAAATTCTTCATGTTGAGCATGATGAGCTATGAACTGTAGTCCTTAGTCATGAAAGAATTATGGGTAATTTAATTCCAGGGGGATAAGGTCAAGAAACTTATATATATACTGATTTAAAAAAAAAAAAAGCTAAGTGAGCAGAGGTGGTAACAGGGAGGGCGACAAAGGGACTGGAGACCAGAGGGAGCTCCTCTCTCCTGAATGGAGAACTGACAGTCACTGGATGCCTACCAGTCGAGTATTTCCTTTATTCTGACCACAGCCACGTGGATTAGGTGTTACGGCTTTCTTTTTACAGGTGAGGCACTTGAGGCTGAGAAAGGATAAGTAATTTGTCCAAACCGCAATTAGAATGAGAACTCCGACCAAAACCCATATTCTTTCCACCTCACCAGAATCAGAGGACTTGGTGATGGTCTGGTTATAAAGTCAGTGCGAGGGGGAGGAGTTCTTCGTCCTGGGCAGTGGGGTAGATGGTGCTGCCACAGGAGGAGGAACAGCAGGTCTGCGAAGAGGGCCTGAACTTAGTTTGGGAGAGCTGACTTTATGGTGTTACCTCAGTGGGGGCAACCAGCAGGCAGCTGCATGAACAACCCTGAAGTTTGTAAGGGAGAGTGTAATCTAGAGGCACAAATCTGGGGGGACTTGCGGGTGCCAAGTGAGTAGCAACTGAAGTCACCAGAGTGGACAAGATTGTCCTGAGAGCGTGTGGAGAGTAAAAACAGGGTCTTGGACAGACCCTAAGAGGCAGCAGCATGGAAAAGCTGGACGATGGAGGCTGAGAAGGAGTGGCCATGGACTTTTCTGTTAGGAGGTTACAGAAGCCAAGGGGAAAACGTGTTGTAAGGAGGGAGCAGTCAGCAGCATTAAATTGTTCTAAGAGGTTCAGTAAGAGAGGAATGAGCACCCAAAATGAAGAATCTGCTGGAGGGAGCAACAAAAACTCTCAGGAGAGCGGCGGGGGCAGATATCTGGGTGTGACGGGTTTGCAAATGAATGGAAGGTGAGGAAAGGGGATCGTGAGCGTATACAACTCTTCTAGAAAATTAGATGGTAATGAGTGGGATGCAAAGGGCAGGATGGTGGGACATGGGACTGAAGGAGAGCGTATTCTAAGATGATCAGACTTGTTTAAATGCCGAGGTGGAGGCCCTACAGAGAAAGGGGTCAAAAACACAGGCAGGATGGAGACAAGGGCAGAGTCAAGGAGTCTGAGATGACAATCCGATGCAGGGGTGGGGGAGGCTCGCAGGGGAGGCTATCTGTGGATTCGGCAGACGGTGGTGGTTTGGAACGTTCCAGTCTGATTTGTTTGTTTCTCAGAGTTAAGAGGTGAAACTATCTGCAAGAAAGGGCGGATTCGGTGAGGGAGGAGTGGAAGTGAGAGGACAGTGGCGGAAGTCTGAAACCGCTTCTTCGGAGAAGAGGAAAGCCAGTTAAGTAGGGGAGAGCAGGACTGCCAGGGGTGCTAGGGGGCTGGCAGAGGCCGGGGGGGTCTGGGGTTAGTGTAGCAACCATCTGCCCAGTTGGTTTCTTCTAGCCCCCTAGACATTGCATGAAGAAAGTTAGGTTGGTCCAAAGCTGAGAATTTGCCAGGAAGGTGTGAGGGAAGAAGAGGGTTTGAGGGAGCAAGAGAGTGGACAGATGACACTGGCAACAGATGAACCAGGGATTCTAAGAAGGGAGAGGCAGGAAATGGGACTGCAAGGGGCTTGCTAGAAGAAAACGGAAGGGTCTGGTGACGGATGTCTTGTACGGAGCTGACACTGAGCATGTCCTCCGTCCTAAGCAACTTTCACACACGACTTAATTTCATCTTCCCAACAGCCCGAGAGCTTGTTTCCTAGCCCTCTGTTACAGAGGCATTTTAGTATTTGGCCCAAATTGGCAAGTCAGTGGCAGAGATGAAGCATGGTCCACACTGCTGACCACTGGTCTACACCAGCTCACCAGGTGACCATGAGATCAAGCACAGGAGTCGTGGGAGACCCTGGGCAAGGCAGTGGAAGGGACTGGAGGCTGTGGTCGGAGAATATGCCATGTCTGACCCTGGAGATACAATGGTTAATCACAAGATCCGAGGAGAAATCAAGGAATGGAGAGTTGGAGGTGTGTGTGGGCGTGGGGGTCCTCCATGTGAGGTCTGACTCACCCGGGAAGATGATGTCCCCGGGTAAACCATCTATGAAGTGCAGCCCTATAGGTGCGTAGGTGCACAGGTGCGTGTGGGTGCTTACCATGTGGATGTTTTA